AGTCCAGAGCGAAGGCTGCATAATGGAGTGGACCTGGGAGAGGGTTTGTAAAACAGTGAAAGAATTTTTTTTTCACTTTTCCAAGAGGGGAGTGTACTGGGGTCGGGGAGGGTTGGTAAGGGAGAAAAGTGCAACCATGAATGAATGGAAATCCAAGTCTCTGTAAATTTTTACTGAAATTAATAATAGATTTAAGTTTTTTAAAAACCCTGAATTCTAAAAAATAATGTCTAAAGTGCCTTTCAATAGTTTTTATTTTTAAAAGTAGTTTTGGTCTTACAGAAAAAAAGTTAAAAAGGAGTGTTCCACACCCATTCACTCTGTGTGTTCCTGTGGTGAGCATTGAGATTCAGGTACAGGTGTGTGTGGTGCAGGTCTGTGCGGGTGTATTGATGCGAGAGGTACGTGTATGCACCTGAGTGGGATGTGGGTTTGTGTAGGTGCGTGTGCGGGGTGCAGGTATGTGTGGTTGTGTAGATGTGTGAGGTACACTTGTATACCTGAATGGGGTGTGTGTGTGTCCAGGTGTGTGAGGGATACGTGTGTGGTATGTGTATGGTCTGGGGACAGGGATGGGAGAATGTGAGTAGGTGTGGGGTGTGGGTTGACTGTGTGGCATTGATGGTTGGGGTGTGGACGTGGGGGGTTGTGTTGTGTAGAGGGTGTGGATTGTATGTATGGTGCTTGTGTGAGGTGCATGGGGGTGGATGTGTGGCATGTGGGATGAGTGTGAGGTCTATGGGGATTGTATAGGGGTCTTAGGGACATGTGAGGAGGTGTGGGGTGTGTGATGCTTGTGGCTGAGGTGTGGAGGAGGTGTGATGCGGGGGCATGTGGTGTGTGGGGTACTCATGTGCTGCTGGGGTGTATATCTGAGGTGTGTGTATAGGTGTGGAGTTTAGGGGTGTGTTTAGGTGGGGTGTATATCTGAGGTGTGTGTACAGGTGTGGAGTTTAGGGGGGGTGTGTAGGTGGGGTGTATATCTGAGGTGTGTGTACAGGTGTGGAGTTTAGGGGGTGTGTGTTGGTGGGGTGTATATTTGAGGTGTGTGTATAGGTGTGGAGTTTCGGGGGGTGTGTTGGTGGGGTGTATATTTGAGGTGTGTGTATAGGTGTGGAGTTTAGGGTGTGTGTGTAGGTGGGGTGTATATCTGAGGTGTGTGTACAGGTGTGGAGTTTAGGGGTGTGTGTTGGTGGGGTGTATATTTGAGGTGTGTGTATAGGTGTGGAGTTTAGGGGGTGTGTGTTGGTCGGGTGTATATTTGAGGTGTGTGTATAGGTGTGGAGTTTAGGGGGTGTGTGTTGGTGGGGTGTATATTTGAGGTGTGTGTATAGGTGTGGAGTTTAGGGGGTGTGTGTTGGTGGGGTGTATATTTGAGGTGTGTGTACAGGTGTGGAGTTTAGGGGGATGTGTAGGTTTATGTGTAGTGTCTGTGGATGCATGTGGTGTGTGGGATACTCTTGTGCTGCTGGGGTTTATTGAGGGAAGCCAAATATAAAATTTATTTTTTTTTCT